TAATAAACTATAATAAATAAAATATCTATATGATAATAAATAACATTAATTCCTTTCTTCTTTTTTAAAGGTGCTGGTATAACTCTAAATAGAAGTTCTAAACACACCCAGAAGAATCAGGGAAGGTTTTCTGGAGAAATTAAGGAAACAGCTGGGTACTGAAGAACAAATACAAACCAAGTAACCAAGTGGATCAGATGATTAAGTGTATTCAAGGAATAGCCACGAATGCAAACACACAGGGGCTGGACAAGGCTGGTATGTTAGGGAACAAAAGGAACATCCAAGTGTCATCTGTGGATGTGGCAAGACATCAAGAAGCACATAGATTAGATTAATAATGAGCAAAGTTGTTGAGGGATTCTCAGTGGTGAAAGGCCACAACTAGATAAACTCTTTCATTAAGATTGTGAAAGCAGTATGAATAGTAAATGAAAATTAGGGACACTAACAAAGACTACTACAGTAATCTAGGTGAAAAACTAAGAAGATGAAATTAGAAAATGGGAACAACTGGATTACCCAATGGATAAGTCTGGTCCACTGTTTTCATAAAAAAGGTTTTAATGGAATACTGCCAAGCTCATTCATTTAGCTGCTTTCTCTCTAACACAGCAGAATTCAGTAGTTATGACTGAAAAGGAATGGTCCACCAAGTCTAAACTATTTGCTTCTAGTTCTTTGTAGAAAGTGTGCTAGTCCTTAGATTAGCTATGTCCCAAGTTTCCCACATGAGTAGTGCTGTTCTGTAAAAGCTAATGAACAGAGGAGAAGATAAATGTGATAGCTCTGATTTTCAAAATTCTGAGTTAGAGGATTACTGTAATGTCCACTTGGAATAATGTAGATGATATTATAAATGAGTTGTTTAACATACATTCCAGCTTCCTTTTAGTATGGTTTTGCTGTGGAGGCTGCAAAGGAGTCTTTTTGCGACTCCCTGTGGAAAGGGCTCCAGATTTCACTCAGATTCTGTTAATCATAATCACCTATGTGACATTTAAAAGGCAGAGGCTGGGCCAGGGATTTAGCTCAGTGGCGCCATGCCTGCCTCACAAGCGCAAGGTTCTGAGTTCAATCCCTGGTACCAAAGGGGGAGGGGCAGAGGCTGAACTTCTCCTATTCTTGTTGTTTTCCTTGACAAGTCTGGTCACAGAAGTGAGTAGATTTTTCTATATTAACTCTAGTAGTCTCTAATGTCCACTTCTTACCCTAAGTGTCAAAATGTAGAACAGAGGGCATCTACTTATTGATCTGGATAATATCGGGTACCCTAAGGCTCTAAAGCTATCAACTACACTGAAGAATAAACAAAACAGCAGGTAGTTTCATGATGCGGAAGAAGCAACACCTGCCCAATTAGCCCAATTCTGCACATACAAGTAGTTCCTTACTCTAAGTTTCCCATGTGAACTGTACTGCTCTGTAATAGCTAACCAAAAATAAGGTAATCTAAGATTATGGCCTTTTTCTTCAGCTCTTGCAATGATATCCTACAATAAGTCTTTGTTTCCTAATATTAGCTAAAGATTCTGTTCTCTATAAGCAAACATTAACCCATACAAGCATCCTAAGGTATGCAGTACACAGATAATACAGTTTAGAAAAGAGGTCTGGGATTCAGATTGAAATCTGAATGTTATCAGAAAATGGGAATGTAGGAGACAATTAATGAAAAGCATTTAGAATAGAAAGAGGCCAAACAGATATAGAAAGCACAAACACTAAAGAGGAGAACAGAAGTTATTAAAAATAAGACTGAAATCAAAAAGGAGAAAAACAAAAAAAGCAGGAAAGATTCGGGATTAGAGAAACTAAGAGAAGGGGGGGTTAAGAAGTTGAAATAGTCAACAAAGTCAAAATTTGAGAGAAGAAAAAACTATCAAGGGAAACCATCAAAAAATCTGAGAGAAGAGAAAAACATTTTGGGAAATTCGGAGGTCAATAATGACATCATTGAAAGTAGATTTATTGATGAAAGCATGTTAGAAGCCAGAATAAACTCGGGACCACATGAGAAGTCAAGAAAAGGAGACAGAGCAGTCTAATCTTCCAAAGTTTAGTTGTGAAGCAAAGGGACTGGAAAACAGCTATGTAATAAATTATAGCTACATAAACGATTTATATTAAAGATCTCTTGTTCTTTTTGCATGGGAGAAACTTTACTATCTTTGCTGCAAGTAGAAAAGGAAAGGTTGAAGATTGAGATAAGTAAAGGAGCAATGTACGGCGGCAGTACGACAAGGGCAGTATGGAATCAGCCTGTAACGAGAAGGTAAATGATTTAATGGAGTTAAAGGTGACAGAGAATAGAAAAGACTCATGTTACATGGCTTTGATTTTCTTTATCAAATGTGAGATGTGATCATCTTATGACAGTAAGGCAGAAGGAACTAGATTGGAGGTTACAGTGAATAAAGACGATTTGAAATAGTTATCTGTAAAATGATAGAGGGACTTGGACATACTAAAAACTAATGAGATCCCAGCTGCATTTAAGAACCATAAATTTTAATTATATCAATATTACAGTTGTCTGTTTTTTGTTTTCTTTCTGAACAGCACTGAACAGCTTAGGCAAGGAAGCAAAAATAGAGATAAATGTTCAAGGAGCCACAGATGGCATTTTGCTGTGCAGGCTTAGCAGAAAAACAAGCTAAAAGAATTTGAGGGTATCATCAAAAGCAACGGTTCTTGGTTCCAGACCTAGTGTATCAGAAACTCGTGGGCATGGTGCTTAGCTCTCTGGATTTTAAAAAGAAAATCATCCTAGCAGTTTTGATACATACTTAAGTTTAAGAATCACTAGTTAGGAGAACATTTGAAAATACGGATCTTAGATCAACTTAATACAGAAAAACAGTAGAACCAAAGAAGGGGGCAGGTGTATGGTTGACAAAGCAGGAAACAATCAAGTGAAGATCACTGATGTTCTCAATAAATTAAAAGACTGTATTCTGGATAAACAAAATAAACTGTTATAAAAGGAACAGGAGAGGAAAAATAGGGTTCTAGAGTCAAAGAATAAAACACTAGAGATGTAGACAAAATACTAATGATGACAGTATCTAAGGCTGGTAACAGGAAAAAGATTGTAAAGTGGAAGAGAAGGGGGGTATACTAGACTCAAGTTCGGGCCAGTGGGTGTCAAACATCTGTTAAGTCCAATGTATGAGATTACTCATCCACCTGGGTTACACAGGATGATGGACCTGAGATGGAGAGAAAATAGTACTGCATAAGTCATGAATAAATATATAGGAGAGTCAAAGGTGTCAAGAGATGAAAGCCATCACACAAATAAAAGGGGAACATAGTTTATAGAAAGTCAATTTCCACTGTAAAACCTCAAAGAAGCTAAAATTTTATACAGGTTAGAAGATTACAAAGTCAAAACCAGTGGCCACTCCATGGAAGGCAATTGCCCTTTATTTAATTGAGGGCAGAAAATACGAATATAGAATTGTGTTTTTATCTTTTAAGGATCTAAAAACTTGTATCTCTTTAAACTGGATAACCTACAGAAAGATCTACAGTTAAAATATAACTGACAGTAGATAAAATTGATCTCTAGTGTTAAAGAAGATAGGATAATGCCTATAATGCCTACCTTTAGAGAAGAAAGAATAATCATCATGAACAGGTGAGATGCTAAGAAAGTTGGCAATATCCTACTTCATGACTTGGTTTTGATTTCCCAGATATATCCTTACTATCATATTTTGTTTTGTATGAACATTTATGATTTGTTCACTTTTTATTATGTACACAATATTCAATGTTAAAGGTTTATTTGAAAATATAACTGATACAAATATAACTGATACTCTGCTATATCTTTTAAATTACAACTATTTAGGAATTAGAAAATAAGTACCTTTCTAATTTAGATGCATCTTAACGTACTGAATATTAATAACTTTATTTCTGTCTAATACAAATGAACAAAATGACACTTCTAGTTAAGAAAATATGAGACCTTAATATTGATAACTATGCTTAGATTTGATATAAATGAAGAAAATATCTTCCTGTAATACAGACACAGAACTGACCTAATTCTATCTGCTCGTTTTCATTCATTAATACCTTTCAGTTTCTTTTATTTCAGAATATTAAGCACAGGAAAATGGTACCTTAGGAGAAATCTCAATTCAAAACATTTTTTTCAGTTATGGCACAGTGACTAAGGTACAAGGTTCTGGGCTAGACAGTGATTAAAGTTTGGATCCAAAGCATTTCATTTACTAGCTGTGTGATCTTTAACAAATTACTTAAGCTCTCTGTCTCATCACCTTTAAAACAGAAATAACAATAATACCAATCTCACTGGATTGCTGGAAGGATGTCTTGGACAAAGCAGGTATAATACACAGGTACTCTCCCTTGATCTCAGCCAAAAGGCCGAGAACCGATTACTATCAATCTACCTAAGTATGCACATCTTATAAAAATATATTTCATATTGGATACATTATGTATTAGAAATCTTAGGTCTGTTTTAGAATTAAGCACATGAAAATAGATTCAATAAATTTTCCCTGTGCGTATGTATGTTCTACTGTCAAATTTAATTTGTAGGCATAGTTCCACTGTGATAAAAATAAAGTTCTATCACCCTTCTGAATTCAAAGCCAAATGTCATCTGTATTACAACATATGTTTATATTTTTAAAATGATTTTTTAGCTGGGGATTTAGCTCAGGGGTGCCATGCCTGCCTCGCAAGCCCAAGGTCCTGGGTTCAATTCCCTATATTGAAAAAAAAAAAAAGTTTTTTTTTTTTTATTACCTGAGTTTCTACACCCTGCTCTAGCAGGCGTTTAGCTTGATTTTCCACTTCAAGTCGAGCTCTTGCAATAAAAAGTAGATCATTTTCTATTACTTCTATTCCAGAAAGATCTATTCCTTGAGTAAGATAATCTATTAAAAAAGCACATACACACATTTAAATATTTCAGTATCAAATAAATACCAAGGTATCAAAATGTCATGTATAATTTCTTCAAAAATATCCTAAATTTGCTGTTGAACATAGTTCCACTTCAATATCAGTATTTTTTAAGTTTCCCGAACATTTTCTACTTACTATACTCTAATTTGTAACTAATCGTACCAAATAAGATGAAATTGGCTAGGCAAAGATAGAAATTATGATCATTTTTAAATTCAAAGCAGCGTCAACAGATTACATAAGATAGTATCAAACTGATATAAATTGATTAAATAAAATAAATATCCTCAATATTTTCAGAAATGTCTCAAGTTCTATCACAGGTTTAAAAGTAACTCTCTAATAGTAAAACACTTGAAGTAAATGTCTGACATGTGGAGAAATGATTAGCAAATTATGAAAAACAACAGCATTTGGCAAGTTTACATGATCAATCAGATCTAATAGTTAAACTGAAGAATATTTATGAGATTACTTAATGAAAAAATATACAGAGGAATTAACTTACTGACATGATTATATAAACAAATGTGCACAGCAAAAATTATTAAATGGTGCTAAAATATTGATTCATCTACATATTCATAATTTTAAATTTTTATGCTTATTCTTTGGCATATTTAAAGTAACTGAAACACAAGGAATAAAAATCAAGGCTTAATTAAGCAGTTTAGATACACCTCTACAGTTCATATTTTCTATTTCAATAAGAGAAATTATTTCTAAAAAATATATTTAGATAGAAAATGGCTTCATTTTGCCAGTTAAAAGTATATCAAATAAAAAAGTATAACAAATCAATTGTTCACTATATTTTCTAAAATTAGCACTAATTTTTCATCTTTACTCTTACTGAAATATCCAGAGTTTAAGTTGTGTTACAACCAACTACTAAGGTCAGACTAAATGAAACCATGCAATACAATTCAAACTATCTACTCAGCAGCACTCATTTATCTACTATTGAGTGCTATGTAGTCAGTTCAACATCAGAGAACAAAAGGAAAAAATATAAGGGTAATCATTTAGGTTTAGATTTTGCCTAGAACTCACTAAATGATCACAATCAAGGGGTACAGTCTCCTCGAAGGTCAATATTTTTAATGTGTAAAATGCCAAGAGTTTATATTTCATGTCTTACATACTCCTTACACTATCATCGGAATAAAAATAAGTTGCTAAAAAGAATGGTAAACTATGTTATATACCAATTAATTATGTAAATTTAGTGTGAATAGTGATTCGCAGAAAATAAAAAAATCTGACTTTTTACATTGAAAATTTTATTTTTCAGAGAATTTTGAGAAAAATGTTTTATATTCAAAGGACAAATAGCACTCCTGCTATGTCCTCCCAATTTTCTCACTGAAAGGGCAAAGGCATAAAAAGTCTATCTTGAAATTAAATTTAGCCAGTTAGGATAATGACTACTAAATAATTAGTATTCTATGGAGTTTAATTTTGAAAAATGTAAAATACTGAAATATAAAAAAATCTCAAAGTTTGAAATATGCTAGAAATAACTACATTGACTAATAAACTCTAAGCAGACTTCACAGTCAGAATTCCTAATCACTTAACACTAGTACCTATTGAATCTCTTCATGTACTGAAAATATTTATGAGGAAACTTAATTGATCTATAGGGATTTAATTATGTATCATAATCTTAGAAGTAAAACAATGAGACCCATGGTTTTTGTGGAGAAAAAAATGATGGTATTCATCTTTATTTAAACTGAGAAAAATATAATAGGCTACAAAAAGAAATTAAACCAAAAGACCAAAGATGTGAAGGTACTGGATAACAATGGACATAACAAACATTTCTTTGTAAAATACATGTAATTCTTCTAAATTTAAGATACTAAAACGTGAATTTTGTCTTCCCCTACTATCATGGTTTTGGTCTCCAACTGATATAGGGCAGAAAGTACTCCAAAAATGATACAGGGCACCAAGTAATCTAAATAAGCAAAAATAATCCAAACAAGGGAAATATTACAACTCCCAACCTGCTAGATATCCGAAACACCAGTGTGTGTTCTCTAAAATCAAAGAATGAATTCTTTTTTTTCTTTTAAGAATGAATTCTAGGAACAATGGAGGTTAAAAGTAGGAAAAATTTATTGAGAGAAAGATAGCTTCTGTCTGAGAGACACAGAAGGGGGAAAGTTAAGTGGGTTGCTTTTGCACTCCACTTTTCAAAGGTGTTTTATAAGGGTAAAGCCATGAGGTGTGGCAGGTACAAATTGGGACAAAATTGTAAGATCCAATGGAAAAATCACATGGTGGGCATGAGGTGGGACAAAACCATGGTCAACCAATAAGATTACAAGTACAGTCACTCATTATTTATGGGAATAAATAATCTTAAAAAAAGGAAAAAAGTACATATATTGGGGAAGAAAGGTACCACAGTGCTAGGTGCAATCATAACACACATATGGGTATATGGATATGGATATACAGATGTATTTGTATGTATATATGTGCATGTAAATATGAACGTTGTAAATTGATAAATACTACTTCAAAAGGTGATTCATATTAAGTTTGTAGAAATACAGGACTGAACATTATCTGGAGCACAAACATTAGCAACCTAGCAAAGTTACCAGAAACACATGATATGATGCATTTCTAATTAACTCTCAAGGTTGATGGGCACTATCTGTAACAAACACAAGTTAAAAATGTGGTTTTGGTAGGGGAAAGGAAAGAAGGGAAAGGAATAAATATGAGAAAAGGAAAAAAAGGAAACAAAGTCTTTGTAAATAGGGAGGCATGGAGGGTTTGAAGGGAGGGTAAGGGAATGGGGAAAAAAATAAGAACCAAGATACTCATGTAATGGTACAAATCCCCAATGATGAATGTCATCATACTGTATAACTAAAATGTACCAATAAACTTAATGAATTTTTTTAAAACCCCAAAATTAAAAAATAAAAAATGTGTTTTTGCATATCTATGTTTTTCCATTAAAGGCTAAACAAATGTGAACCGATGACAAGATTATACTATTAGACAAGGACATTACAAAAATTATGATTATATTATGTTCAAAAATGAACATGTTAAATAAAGTCAAATAGAACTTTCAGAGGTAAAATGTAGTGTTCGGATGAGATTTTCAGATGAGACATTGCCAAAAAAGTGGAATATACTGTCTCAAAAAGAAGAGTTTAATGCAAATATCATTAACTGGACACCGGATAAAATGCAATGCTTGTCAAAGAATTTTCTGAAATCCAAAAAATATTTTTAAAGGAGTAGAAATTATATAATTCCACATCCCAAAAGGAACCACTGTAAAATGGATCACTGGGATTTACATGTGAGATAGTGATAAATCTCCAAATTCTAAACTAATACCAAAATAGTATAAATAGTATTCCACGGATGTTTATGTGAAAAAGAGCAGGGGAAGCAAAAACAGACAGACTGGAGAGCTGGATACAGTCACTTATTAACAAAAGTGGCTCCCTTGTACACTCTGACTGTGCAAAGCGCAACATGCACGTCCACATCTCATAAATACTACAAGTAAGCTTCAGATGTTGCTAACGTATCTTTTTAATCCACCCATGAATTATTCTGTCCTTGTTTTTATTTGTAATTAAATTTAATTACAGTATTTATTTTTAATTTTGGGAGGCCCTGAGCGCTGGAACCAGTGTCCTTTACACGTTAATAAGCACACCTCTCCACTGAGCTCCTCAGCCCTACAAGATTGTGATGATGCTAATTCCTTGTATCTCTGCTTCCTGGCTGCCATGAAAGGAATCCCACAGCCAGCCAGCCATGGATTGAACCCCTGAAACCATCAGCCAAAGTAAAGCTTCTTTCTTTAAATTATTTATGTTGGGCATTTTGTCCCCACAATCGAAAGGTCACTAACAGATACCAATATTTTCTTTAACATTATAAGCATTTACCTACCATAGTTTTTGATAATGGACCAATATTTCATCAAATGAATGCAACAAAAATTTAAAACCTTCTGTTACAAAAGAAATGTTATCATGAATAACTACTTTAATCATCTTTCTATATACATATTTTAAATATAAAGAATTATTTCCTTGAGAAAGTATCAAAAACAAATTCTGGATCAAAGATACACTTTTAAGTTTTGTAATACAAATTATCAAACTACTTTTACCACTTTATACATCTTTTCTTCCTAATAATCTATGGGACTCATCTAACCACAGCACTTGATATTATCACTATTTTGAGTATCTTATATGTTGGTGTAAGAAATATGTTCATACCAAGAGAGATTATGTAAAGGTGCAAATTTCCAATGATGAATGTCATTATATTGTATACCTAAAATGTTCCAATGATTAGAATGAATAATCGATAATGCAAAATAGGAAGAAAAGGTCCAAAGGGGTAGGGGTAGTGGGAGGAGCAGGGGAAAGGAAAGAAGGGAAGGGAAAAATGCTAAGAAATGGAAATAAAGTCTTTGTAAATAGGGAAGGGTGGAGGGGGTGAAGGGAGGGCTAGGAATGGGGAAAAAATAAGAACCAAGATGATGTAAAGGTACAAGTTCCCAATGAGAAATGTAATTTTGTTGTATACCTAAAATGTACCAATAAAAGAATTTAAGAAAAAAAAATATGTTCATATTGATCATCTAATGTGAAATTTTAAGTAATGATGTTAATATTATTTATTATATTTTCTTTAGAAAATATCTACAAAATTGAGTCACCTTATATTATATATTGTTTGCCTATCAAATGAGTTTTCTCCCAGTCTGTTCATTTTTAAACTTTTATAGTTACATATTATGTCTTGATACAATTCTCAAAATCATGATAAAATTATCTCTAAAAAACTTCACATTTGATTCTTCCATATATCCCTGCTTGATTATGAAACTCAGGCTAAAGCCTGTCTTGTACAAAAGCAAATATCAACATATAAAACTGGCTTGCAGGGGATTATCTGGAAGACT